TTGTTGGCCTTTTTTGTGTATTTTATGTATTTTTTTAGTATCACCTGTTATTTATAGCCTGACCAGGAACATAAAAACCCTGGCATAGAGGCGCGTCAATTGCATTTGATAGTGCAACACTGAGTACAGTCGTACCTGTGTTAATTAATAGGCTAACTTTATGTATCAGGATTCAGAATTACGGGCTAATTTCATAAATTAACTAAAAAATATTATTATAGGTAACCTGGTTTAAATAAATTAAATGAAACCATCAATCGAGCTAGTAGGATTTATTTTATTATTCATCAATAATCAAATTCAGAACTTGAATATTCAACTGCAATGTCTGCTCATGAACGCTTCAAACTCGGTACTTCTTTCCCAATTCCATAAAATTCAACACTTAGAAAGTGACAAAAAATTTTAAAATAGGTAGTTGAAACAAACCACAGCTAATTTTCATAGTGGACTGTACTATGCGATAAACATGTCAGTCAATTTGACAACCTTTGTCGGAAACATTATTCAATGAAAATATTGTCCGAACCCTTAGTATTTCTCTTCGACAAACACTTTAACACATTGTAAACCACTTTTCTTTCACGACTATAAAAAGATTTTAGCAATTTAATTCACAAAATCAATTGCGCACATTTAAAATAAAGTTTGTTTACACTTTGACAGAAATAGACTGACATTCAAGGTGACATGACAATGAAGTTTTCAGTTACTGTTGCCATTAAAAGAAATTAGTACCATTAGTTTTCCGCAACATGGCGAGGGTTTTTATGTTCCTGGTCAGGCTATAGCATTATTACTGTTTTTATTTTATCAGGATATACCGCTTAGTTTAAAAGTTATTACGTTTTCTTTACAATAAGTAATTGGAAGAAAAAAAAATCTATAAAAAATTAAAAACAAATCTCAAAAAACTTTAGACCTCTTTTTTGTCGATAAAAATAGGTCTAGTTTCATCTATTTTTATATGTACACTTTAACGTGACTCACACTGTATTTAAACTAAATAAATAAATAAATAAAAACTTTAAAATATTTATAACTAGCTGACCCGGCGAACTTTGTTCCGCCTTAATGGCAATAAATAAGCAGACTTTTTTTTAATTTCGAACGGGATAAAAAGTATCCTATGTCCTTCTCCTGGCTCTAAACTACCTCCCTGACAATTTTCAGCTAAATCGGTTCAGCCGTTCTTGAGTTATAAGCGAAGTAACTAACACGACTTTCTTTTATATACAGGGTGGAAACGTTAAGTGATCTCACTCGATTATTTCTAAACTATACAAGATATTGAAAAACTGGTTACNAAGAATCGCGTGAGTCGTTCATCCTGAGCTATCGGGCCTACTAGCAACGATATAGCGGATCTGTAGCAGTTTACTGTGCCGTACTGGCTACCGCTATTAAACACCTCGGCAAGGAACTCTATTATGACAGGAATAGACGGTTGAAACATGTCAANGTTTACATTAACGCCCTTGGTCTACCTCATAATTATCTTGGTGATTATGAGTTTATTTCATTCACATATTTAATTTTGTAATGCGCCGATTATAATCGGCATATTTTGCCGAATAGTCGTCACTAGTCGGCCGACTATAAATGATGCCGAATAGTCGGCTTTCCCGACTAGTCGGCGACTAGTCGGCCCATCTCTACTGGTTACTGATCCTGAAAGTGCTTCAAGAGCTCTTTCAAACGGTACCAATAATAGGTTACAGAATAAACTAGATCTATCTGAAAATTCAATGTTTCCAGCTTCCATACTAAATGTATGCCAGACACAAATATTAGAAGTGTATTTTTTTTATTTAATAATAAACTCTTAAAATGAACTCGTAAATTGTATTCTTATTTTAAATTATTCATGGAAAACATTGGTTTTAGGCTTTACTTGCTATAATATTGTCAAGAGATGAGTGTCATGAATGTGGTAGTACAAAATGTATGGAAGAAGGAAACATTGAATTTTTGGATAGATCCAGTATATTCTGTAACCTATTATTGATACCATTAGATAGAACTTGTGAAGCACTTGTAGAATCAGTAATCAGTTTTACGATATCATGTGTAGTTTTTAAAATAATGTGACTTTACCAAATGTATGGAAGCTGGAAACATAGAATTTTCGGATAGATCCAGTTTATTCTGTAACCGATTTTTAATACCGTTTGATAGAGCTCATGAAGCACTTTCAGGATCAGTAACTATTTTATTTATATCTTGTATAGTTTAGAAATAATCGAGTGAGATCACTTATCGTTTCCACCCTGTATATAGATTAAAATAAAGGGCGGCAGATTTCCGGACGGCCCCGGGCGGCGAAAAGCCACGCTACGCCACTGCGCTCTAGCTAATTGTTCTAGCTGGAAATGCTGGAATACCTTAAGATTTTCATGTGTACTGCTATTGACTGTGACTCTTATTTCCTAAAATCGAAACCCGATTGACTCTACCCCAAAGAATGCTATAAAACTATTTTGCCACTAAAAAGTTTATCGATGTAAGGTGTTGGAAGCTTTATTTATATTATTAATTTAAAGCTACCTAACGAGTGTACTTTATTTTGAAAATTATAAATAACTTGAAAAAATCGAACTGAGTGCAGTTGAGTACATCATCATCATCATCATTTCAGCCACAGGACGTCCACTGCTGAACATAGGCCTCCCCCAATGCTTTCCATGTTGATCGATTGGTAGCGGCCTGCGTCCAGCGCTTCCCTGCTACCTTTACGATGTCGTCGGTCCACCTTGTAGGTGGACGAACTGACTAACTAAGTACATAATTAGCCCAATAGGAATGTTAAAGAAATGTTCATGTTCAACCACTGCGTAAAGTGTTTGCAAAATTGAAATTGTCACAAATTCGTCTCATGTAGTGCGGAACTTTGTGCGGAACAGTTGTTCAAAATAGGTAGTACATACATCAACTACCTAACTTGATTGAAGAAGTAGAGTAGGTAGGTACACTAATTATAAAATGTTTTGTCGTTCTTGATTACATTTTCTTACATTGTCCACTCATTGTCAACGAGAGCGACCGAATTAATGCATAATTACATTAACGTGTAATGGCAGGCAACATTTGACAACAATCGCTGGCCTTGCAAGCCTCCAATTATTCACCACGAACTTTCAATTTCAGAATCAATAAACCAGTTAATGTCACGGGCCTCGATCGATTGGTGAATCGCCAATATCAAGGTATAATAAACATTATTTTGTTCGAGATATGTAGCCAAGTTCGTTAAATATTTTAATCTCTACGTTCTCCACCCATTCAGCGATGTTTTTGATAGGTATTAACTTTCTAACATCCGCACCTACCCTATGTAGGTGGTACCTAAGTATGTACGACGACACCGTGGTGACATGATATCATACGTCTGCTTGCCGCCTCCCCCTGACTTAACATACGAGATGAGAGACGACCCTCGTCATTGCGGATATCGAACTAAACTTGCCGAATCAATATCTTACTAATGTTATAAATTCGAAAGTTTGTATTAATGTTAAAACATGTTTGTTACTTTTTCACGCAAAAACTACTGAACGGATTTTGATGAAACTTTAAAGTATAATTATTGTTTATAGCCCAGAATAGCATATAGGCTATAATTTATGACGATCTGTGACTAACTAATTTTCACGCGGGTGAAGCCGCGGGCAAAAGCTAGTACACGATCACAAAAATGTAAAACAAAAAAAACGAATTCTAATGTTACAAGAATTTTTCAAATCTGTCCAGTGGAGTTTCGAAGCACTTTCGAAGCCAATACATACAAAAATATCCCATCAAAAACAATACTTGTCAAATAATTAACTTTTAAAAAAAATAAAACCTACTTCAAATGCGTGAACACAAAAAAAAACTAAAAATTAAAAATATTGCGTATAAAAAAGTTCATCCCCAATTTTCCACCCTTGGGGGTGAAATATTTTCTTCAAATTCGCATGAAACCACCCTTTTGATAATACCTATTCAACAAAAAAATAATCGTTCAAATTGATTTATAATCGGCGGAGATATTGCGTATAAAAAAGTTCATCCCCAATTTTCCACCCTTGGGGGTTGTTTTTTCTATTATTAAATTTAAATGGGACCACCCTTGAGGTATTACCTATACGCCGAAAAAAGATTTGTTCAAATCGGTTCATAATTGGCGGAGTTATCGCGTAACAAACATAGAAAAAAAAAACATACGGGTCGAATTGATAACCTCCTCCTTTTTTGAAGTCGGTTGAAAAACCAAGTCTCGCAACTCAGTTGTTCTACGGTAAAAAGTTGTGAGATCCATGTAATACCAAGTCCAGGCCAGGAAATCTTTAACGTTTTACATAAATATATTGACTTGGCCATCGCACTAAATAATTTAATTTACACGTGTTTTCATGCGATGGCCAAGTAGTAGTATGGAGTTATGGACACACGTATCGCAACTCAACCCATAGTAGGTGTGTCAAGCAGTGAATGCATTATCGAGTGCACTATGAACTGCGGCATTTCCGCGGGCGCGCCGCTGACGTCACGCCGCATGGCTTACGTAACGTCGCGCCGGGCGCATTCGCCACGCCAGTTTCGCTAATGCTTTGGCGAGAACAATAAAAGCTAGCTTTTCAACCAAGTTCGGATTCCGCTTACGATCGTTTGATTAAGTACCTATACCTCAAAGCCGGATCTGAAATCTAAGATAGTAGAAATGTACCTATTCTTCAAATTTCAAACGTTACACGCGCCGTAAGCAACAATATTAATAGTTTAGTGCTATCGAATGACTATCGGAGGCTGCGAAATTCGCCTTGAGAAGTGAACTTTCAAAACAGCTCTATTGACATTTTTGAAGCTTGAAATACTTTCTACAAAATCCTTGTTTATGCTACTCGTACCCACAAAAGGATCTGAAAGACTGATAAGATCTGACCATGGTCATGAAACCGTTATTTCTATCTTTAGGTATCTAATAGATAAGCTGGATATTGATAAATAAAAGATGTGAGTAACAACGATAACTTTAATCAGATATAAATACATTATGAACTAGTCGAGGCGAACGCGAGCCGGGCGCCAGCGCCGCGAGGCTCCTCACGGTCCCTTACAAGTTTGATAAGTAGTGCCATTTGTCCACTGAAAACAAGAAACGCTCCGTTAAAGCAAACCTTCAAAGTAACTTCCTGCATGCAGTCCTTTATGCTAGTTAATTCTTTGCCAATTTCTACATTACGTTGTCTAAAAATGATAATAATTCTTGCGATACCTGACATTTCAAGTAGGTACTTTACCATCAGTTGTTATATGAATTATTTTCTTATCAGAAACAGGGTGTAGTAGACTGGCATCAAAAACTTTTTTATAAATTCCCACTCTATCCATTCACAGCACAATCGTTATTATTGACCGGTATCGCTCGATACCCATTATTGCGTTCGATTTATTTGACCCCTACTGTAAATCTACGCTAATGTGCATTTCTTCGGTATCACTACGGTATCAACGGTGTAAAAATGACAAAGATCGGTCACTCCGAAGGTCATCGGGATTTAATTCACTCAGATTTGATTAAAAATTAAAATAGATTCCATTATTTACATCTTCGAAGTCGCAAGAGGTGTTGTACTATTCGACTGATGATCGACGAGGAAGGCTCCTAGTTTTTGATTCGTGGTTAAAATAACCAATAGTCAAATTTGACAGATGTCAAATGACAAGTGGTTAAATATCAGAAAAAATGTTTTTCGAACAATGGTTAGCTTGACTTTTAGTACATTTTTTAACTATTAACTAGTTAACATTTTGTTAATATTTAACCATTAGTAGTAAAATTTAAAAATTAGTTATTTTAACTATGAATCAAAAAACTGGGTCCAACTGTAGTACTACACTTAGGCCCAGTTTATTGATACACTGTGTAGACTTGAGGCGTTGGGCACTGACCTGACTGCGGGATGGGCTGCGGCAGGCCCCGCGGCGGCGCCTTGCCCAGGATGGCGGCCGCCTCCGCGCGCTCCACGCGCCCCGGGCTGCCCTCCACCGTCACGTTGGTCCTGCGCACAACAACCGGTCAGGTCCCAGTGTCTCGAGCGTGCTCGACCGAGTGGCCGACTTGACCGCCGAATGTTCTTCTTGGAGGTCAAAACACACACCCCGGCACCTTATGTTTAGTGAGCGCCTGATACACCCATCATCGCACGGAGCTAGTCGTTTGGCCGATGGAAAATAATGTTAAAGACTCTTAAATTACTAAAATGGGATTTCACAAAAAGATTAGACAGAAATGTTCAAGACTGATAGCGAAGTATCTTATAGCTTTGGTTGGGGGCCTCTCCCCATCTAGGGCAGAGCAGAAATCGAATTCGAGACAAATCATGTACCTACATATAACACAGTTACACTCACTTGTTGATGTCGGTAGCGTCGGCGACCTTGCCGGAGACCAGGCCTCGCCAGAACTCATGCACCTGAGTGACATTCCACGCGCGTTAGTGAACAATACCATATCGAATTAAGCAATAGGATGTCAATATATTATGCATAACGTTAAATTAAATAAATACTTATACGAATAATTAACTTTTAAAAAAAATAAAACCGACTTCAAATGCGTGAACACAAAACAAAACTAAAAATTGAAAATATTGGGTATAAAAAAGTTCATCCCCAATTTTCCACCCTTGGGGGTGAAATATTTTCTTCAAATTCGCATGAAACCACCCTTTTGATAATACCTATTCAACAAAAAATAATCGTTCAAATTTATTTATAATTGGCGGAGATATTGCGTATAAAAAAGTTCATCCCCAATTTTCCACCCTTGGGGGTTGTTTTTTCTATTATTAAATTTAAATGGGACCACCCTTGAGGTATTACCTATACGCAGAAAAAAGATTTGTTCAAATCGGTTCATAATTGGCGGAGTTATCGCGTAACAAACATAGAAAAAAAAAACATACGGGTCGAATTGAGAACCTCCTCCTTTTTTGAAGTCGGTTGAAAATTGAGAAAAGTTCATCTTAAAATTCTCATCTTACTTAATAAACAAATGAATTTTTTCGATGCTTAAAATGTATTGTTAAAATATCTATCCGAAAACTTAATTTTAATTTAGAGAGCTTACTTGATGAGTTTCTACCTATTGAATAGTTTGATTTGAGTATTTTGTTTAGGACTGGCAAAGTTCAAGTCCACCTCAATAAAACTCTAGTATAGCCTGACCAGGAACATAAAAACCCTGGCATAGTGGCGCGTCAATTGCATTTGATAGTGCAACACTGAGTACAGTCGTACCTGTGTTAAATTAATTATGTATCAGGATTCAGGATTACGGGCTAATTTGATATTTTCATAAATTAACGAAAAAATATTATTATAGGTAACCTGATTTAAATAAATTAAATGAAACCATCAATCGAGCTAGTAGAATTTATTTTATTATTCATCAATAATCAAATTCAGAACTTGAATATTCAACTGCAATGTCTGCTCATGAACGCTTCAAACTCGGTACTTCTTTCCCAATCCAATAAAATTCAACACTTAGAAAGTGACAAAAAATTTTAAAATAGGTAGTTGAAACAAACCACAGCTAATTTTCACTGTGGACTGTACTATACGATAAACATGTCAGTCAATTTGACAACCTTTGTCGGAAACATTATTCAATGAAAATATTGTCCAAACCCTTAGTATTTCTCTTCGACAAATACTTTAACACATTGTGAACCACTTTTCTTTCACGACTATAAAAATATTTTAGCAATTTAATTCATAAAACCAATTGCGCACATTTAAAATAAACTTTGTTTACACTTTGACAGCAATAGACTGACATGCAAGGTGACATGTCAATGAAGTTTTCAGTTACTGTTGCCATTAAAAGAAATTAGTACCATTAGTTTTCCGCAACATGGCGAGGGTTTTTATGTTCCTGGTCAGGCTATACAGTTAAAATGTTAATGGCCCATTGTCCTCCTGCAAGCGAGCCACGATGGTGATTAACCGAGAAGTGTTAGAACCGGTCCTGAGTGTTAGACTCTCACCGTATGAAACTACGAATCGCGGCGCGAACCCTAAGCAAAACCGGTTGCCGGCAAACCGCGAGGAGCCGTAACACTTTTTATCAGACAGTCGCGTAGTCGTGAATGAATACCTACGCCGCGCTTCGTTCGTAATCAAGAGAATGTAGACCATTAATTTTATGTAAGTATGTAAATTACATTTAATTTCGGTTTATCAAGGAGAGACACGACGCAAATAAGTATGATAACATCGGTATAAAAAAAAACTTCCGAAAAAGCAAAAGGTCTTATTAGAACAGATTCCATTAATTTAACTTCAATTCCTGTAAAATACAAAATGAGCAGTAAGTTCGAATGAAAAAATCGTATGCTCACCTCATCGACGACTTTGTAGGCGAAGTCCCTGCCCTTGGCCTCGCCGTCGAAGGCGAAGCGGTTGACGGGCTTGCCGTCGGGCACCTTGTAGAGGCGGAACCACTCCACGCTGGCGCGCAGCAGGCCGGGGAACAGCGCCTCCACGTCGGCCACGTCGTTCAGGCGCGCGGCGGCCGGGTCGCGCGCGTCCACGGCGATGAGCTTCCAGTCCGTCTCGCCCTCGTCGATGAGCGCCAGCGTGCCCAGCAGCTTGACGGGCAGCACGTCGCCGCGCGCCGCCACGCGCTCGCCGATCTCGATGACGTCGATGGGGTCGTTGTCGCCGCGCGCCTGCGTGCCCGGGTCCACGTGCTGCGGGTTCTCCCACGTCTGCGGCAGCGCGCCGTAGTTCCAGATGTAGCCGCGGTGCGGGAACACGTTGCTCACGAAGCGCAGCGCGCCCTTCTTCACGTCCTGCGCGAGACACACCGTCAGCGACCGCTCCAAACTCGTGCCGTGCCTCCGTTCATGAGTGCCACCAGTGGTCATAACAAAATATTTTTGAATTTGGGTAAAAAATTAAATGACGCTTTTCAATCGATGCAAAGGTTACGTTGCGTCGGAATCGAACCGGATGTCTGTCGAGTTTTCTATTTTGTTTACTGGACATCCTTGTCATCATTAAACAGAGAACACGGTGTGAGAACCCTCCCTTTTTTTTATTCATAATATCCCTACCCTTTCAACCTAGGAACGGTAGCCATGAAGGTAAAGTCGCGTCGTGTTTACTATTCTCTCAGTAGACCTGCCTAATACCTGTTTAATGGGGTTCAAAGGCTCCCCGAGACTGATTTCCATCTTCGCGTTGCTCCAGCGAGGCACTTCTACAACCATGTTGACGATCTTCTGCGCGCGGTCCGCCCAGAGTGGAATGTCGTGCAGTGGCGAGATTGGCCCACTCTCATCCTCTGTTAAGCAAACGTAAAAATTTAATGTTTTGTTTTAATTTAAAAAAAATAAAATTTTACAAGAAATATGGATTTTAACACTGAAGAAACTACCCAGAATAATCATCATCATCATCATCAACAGCCCTTTACAGTCCACTGCTGGACTATGAGCCTCCTCCACTATAGTGGAGGGTTTTGCCATAATCTCCACGCTTGGCAGGCGGGTTGGAGATCGCAGTTTTAAAGATTGATGTTTTTTCAGAGAGCGCTGCTGCCCATTCTCTGTTTGATGTGTAGTCCCTAAGTCGCCTCTTACGACACCCGCGGGAAGAGTAGGGGTTGGTGACAAATGTATTCTACTCTNGGCGCAGGGCGGTTCTTGGGCGGCGGCAGTTTCTCGTGGCGTCGCAGGCGACGTGGGCTCTGTTGCATGTCGGTCTGAAATCCGACCAAAATCGGTTCGTTATTGGCGAAAAAGTCCCACAGACAATTCTGAGTAATAACGAACTTTTATGCGTCGAGACAATCCCACAGATTGCTCTGAGTGCATTTATTTACAGAGCCACAACCATACAATGAAAATATGCAGCGAAGTAGTCCCGCAGACTATTCTGATTGCATATATTTTGCGACATTTTACAACAGGGAAAATGCAGCGAAGTAGTCCCGCAGACTATTCTGATTGCATACGTCCTGAAGTCGCGTAATAATTAACAGTGAACACTAACCGTAATGTTTTTCCGAAGGCTTTGAGTCCCGTGACGTCGAGCGCGCGCGGGGCCCGCTGCGGGAGCGCGATGAACTCGATGAGCTTGAGCGCGACGAGCTGGTCGACGAGGATGCACTGGATGGTAGCCGGCGGCGACGCGGCCGACGACAATGTTTAATTTCACTTTCCAATTTCTTCAATTTTTTTGATAAAAATTCGACGGTACTTTCACTACGTCGTTTCGGCATTTTGGTTTACGTGCGAAGTGGTCGAGCACTAAACTGCGAATGACGCCAGTGGAGTGAGCCCGCCATAGGAAATATCGGCGGTAGAGGAGAGAAAAACATTTTCAGGCTTACCCTCAAAATGTTTTATTTTTTATTTTTTTCTTTAAACAACAGTGCAAAAGTGGAGTGACTATGCGAAACTACATTGTGTTATATAATCTATGTTATACTAATCTCGAGGACGAAGCACGAGTATAATGAAAGTTTTAGCTACAGAGTTTTAACTGGTTTCAATAAAAAAGTGGATCAATGACTCACAAATCTATGTAACTGTGTCATAATTAGAAAATACTATTAATAAAGATCGGTAAAATTGTTCTCATGAACGTAAATTTCGATGTTGGAGCCAACTAGTGGGGTAATAATTTTTCATCTGTCCATAAACGCATTCTTGTGGATTGGCTGCTTTTACACCGTGTCGTAATATATTAATTTGTGTAGTTAAATTACTGCGGGAGTTTTTATGGAATTAATGAGGGGAGGTGTCATTAAAACGATGTCTAATTTGATGATAAATTTTAGCTTCTCATAGAATTGTTTTTAGGGTTCCGTAGTCCTGACAAGGAACCCTTATAGTTTCGATATGTCTGTTTGTCCGAGGTTTTGCTTGGAAACTATTGGCACTAGAGAGCGGTAATTTTGTGGAGGTATGTACTATATTAATCACACCGACAAAACGGTACAATAAAATTATGAAAAAAAAAATTTTTTTTACGTTAGCTCTCCTACATTATTTTATAGTGGTGATGATTTTTTTTTTCATCTTCTACCCCATCGTGTGGGGTATCGTTGGTCTTTTAAAATGGCTTAGGGGTTTCTAATGCCCGTTTTCACCATCAATCCCTAATGTTTAAGTAACCCCTATGGTAACTCATAACAGGAATTTTGTTTACATTGGGGTCACTTAAAAATTAGGGATTGATGGTGAAAACGGGCACAAACTTACCAAGTACTAGTAAAACTTATCTCGAGTTTCCAAAGAAAATAAAAATTAATATAAATAATATAACCTACTTCGGTGTGATAATCGCTCATAAGGCGTTGTTCACACAGCTATAAAGGGCAATAGGCGTCATAAACTAAACACAGCAGTAAACAAGCCGTTAAAATTGGTCGGATTAAGCTGTGTACACATCGATAAGGCGTTTGGGAGGCTAGAGGTTGCAGCAGAAATATCCGAAAAAGGTTAGAAGTAAGTAATAACTTACTAATAATGGAACGCACTGATGTAGTAAGATATTTCAGAAAAAGATGTTTTGTGCCCATGTTTTGGTATAGTAGGACTAACCCAACTCTTCCTGTAGCTGTTGTAAGACTAAGGGACAAAGAGCGAAACCAAATTCTCAATTGGCCTCTGGTAAATTGGAGAGGGACTTGTTCCTGCAGTGTAGACTAAATGATCTGCTGATGACGATGAAGAAACTCGTGAAGCCAATCTATCACGCAAAATGCTGAATAAATCATTTGTTACTTATCTTGTTCCGAGTGAATAGAACTTTGTCCCGGGGGAAAGATAAACTGTCATTGGACCCGCAAAAAAAATCAGTCTGTATGTTGCAGCTAACCCAATCCTATGCAAAAGCAAAAGAAATGTACTTAAACCTCACCCAAACTATGAGATTAATCTAATGCTGCTTTTACACTGCGCGGAAATTAGCCAAGTCAAGTCAAAAAAACAGTGGGGTGGGTATGAAAAATGAATGAATTTCATCCCCACTCCTCTGTTTTTTTGACTTGACTCGGCTAATTTCCGCATAGTGTAAATCCGCCATAAATAATCAACTCATTTGAAAACCACATGCATTTAGGCTTCAGTTTTATTTCTTCTTTTATTTTATATTCCCATTCCTAGAAATAAACGTGTTAATTAACCCCAGAGCTGAAACCCAGTACATTTTTGTACCTAATTAACCTGTTTATATTCACAAACCTGGGGCGTCAATAGAGAACAACCCCGAAACGTATTTACAGAACAAATAAATATTCATAAACAGGCAGGTACTGCATTGCAGGCAGGTGAGCCAACGTGTGGTGTGGTGCATTCATAAATGTTGCATGCTGACCACCCCATTCTGGACTCTTTATCGCTCGTCATAAAAGTTATATTGCTGTGCGGAAACATGGAGATACAGGGTGGATTTCTTATTTGGCTGAAAACTTAATTCAGACATGACGAGTTATAGCGAACGTTAAGAACGATTCAACGTATTAAAAGCGGGGTTTTCAGGAAAGTTATTTAAGAAACTGTCATGACTTTAGCTCAAAGAAAGAGCATTTTACTGTTTATTTTCCTAGCGCCGAAAGATGGCGCTGTGTGCAAAGTGAATCGCGGTAGTGAATTCTTAATAAATGTGCTGAATATGACGTACTTATAAATAAAGATTTATATTATTAAACTGTGCATTAACTCACCTCCACTGCTACCACCGCATTTGGATCTGAAACAAATGATGGTTAATTTACAATTATTTGAATTTTTATTGTTATCAAAAATGCTTAACTAAAATTGTATAAAAACACTCGTACAACAAAAAGTAATGGTGTTTTACAAAATCACTGATGTATTAATCGTATTAAACACTAATTTTAATACACAGTTTGTTTATGGTTTTTGAATAAAAGCTTGACGGTTCATTTCATTCTCAGAATAGTAAAAATTCTGTCAATATTGACTTTATATTGAAAAAACTGCGAATCGAATTCAGCTTAAAAATTGAATAGCAAAATTCATTCTACCAAACCGCTCATTTTAAAACCAATTTGTGATATTTTGGTAAAACTGATATTTTATTTTCAACACTTTTCTATAAAATGTTTTCGTTAAGTAATACTTTTGGAAAATGGCTGTTGAAACGTTGTGAATTTTCGTAAAACGTTTTATGTGGACAAAAGCGCGGACAGGTTGGATTATACGCCATCAAGTTTGAAAGGTTTGGTTTTATGATATAGATTGTTCAATTAAAATCGGATTTAAATGTTATATTTCCGATAGGGTTTTTCTTTCATCTATTTTCCGACTGAATATCGAAATTTGCTCAATTCTATACGAATAGTAACATTTATTTTATTTATTTCCTGATTAAAAATGGAATGTACGCTAAATTCTATTCAAACTGACAATCGTAACAGATTTAAGGACGTGGCACACTTATCATACCGGAAAGGGATCGTAACCGTATCTACTCGAATCTAACGCCCGTATTCACAAACATTACTATGAGGTCTCACAGTGCGCGTGGACGCACAGGGTGACACACGAACCAATCACAGAGCTCTATACGACGCTGTGCGTTCGATTTTCTTTACTTAAGCAAGTATCGTTTGTGAATACGGGCGTAAAAGTGTCTTAAATCCTCTTGAAGTTTTTCCAGACATTACACACTACCTATTGTTCTGTACAAAATTATAATAAAATTCGTTAATTCGCTATTGAAAAATAAATTGATTCTAAGTATCCACACCCTATTTGATTTAAAAAAGTTTTACCAAGTGGCATTTAATCATATTATTATACTACTTATTCATTTCCTTATATTTCGAAGTCGGCCCTCAACCTACTGTCGTGGGAAATGCCGTATGGCTTCATTATGGTGTCATTCGTACCCTTATATTATCACGTGGGAAAATGTTTTCTTTACGCGCATAATAAAAGGGGGAGTAGTAACTGAACAGTAGTAATATTCTTTTCTACTATTTTTGTATGTAGGACAGACGACCTCCTAAAGGTAGCTAGGAGGCGCTGGATGCAGGCCGCTACCAACCGGTCAATCTGATGATGATGATGATGATGATCTTTGTATTTGAAAATATTTCATAAGTGGAATGATTGATTTGCTATCATCTTATCTGAAAACCTCCTTTCCCTATTCTACACATTCAAGTAAGCTTTCTTAGGGTTGTTCCCATGCCTAAAAATTAATTCAACGGCTTAAGGCGTGAAAACGAATGATATTTTTTCAGAATAATAATAAAATCTTTATTTATGCAAGAAAGATTTACAAAAGCCGAAAGACAGTCCTGTATTAAACTAATTAGCTTATTAATTACATTAATAATAAAATAATTATAATTATACATGCTATAGTGGATTGTAACAGAAATGTTGGTAGCGGTTCTCGCACTAGGTATGCACCTGAATCGCGAGAAACCAGTAAGTATTTTCAAAACGTACCTCTGGTGCCACCATAGAACTTCACGCAGCTAAATCGTTTATTGATATTAAAATCCAATACGAGTATTCTGCATGTGACAAACACTATTATAGCTTTCATTTTAGCTATTTCGAAACACAAATACGATGTTAGAAAAAATATGGAAGCAGAGGCTCGATCCAGGTTTATTTCAAAGGTTGTATTTGTCCGTCTTTGTAATCTGAAATGGTTGAATCAGACCATCAGATAGATGCTCAAAAGTAATAATTTCTCGTACAAGCAGGTTAAAATAAGTCTTCAATGTCCTAATCAAATTGGAGACTTATTTTAATGGTTACTGATGAACATTAATAATAATAATCATCATCATCATCATTTCAGCCATAGGACGTCCACTGCTGAACATAGGCCTCCCCCAATAACTTCCACATCGCACGGTCGGTAGCGGCCATAATAATTGCATTCATTGTTACATTTTTAAATACGTCATACAAAGAAAAATATCCAAATAAACGTGTGCAGATCAAGTCAGCGATTGCGATGGCGATCACTGCGCGTGCATAGATCGCCGCGACCAATGACAGGACGCGTTGATGTGAACTCATCGCTACAAATTCATATGTCGCAGGCAAATTGTATGATTCCGCATTTTACAAACGGCGTTGTCAATTTACAAACGCTCGCTGTTCTATGAAATGCCGAAGGCAAATTGGCAACTCGTTCAATTGATAAAATTTCGACTATGATTGTTGCAATAGGGTGACCATCATAAAACACATGTTGGACAAATCAGACATAATTTCAGAAATCAGGTAGGTATCTATTCAAGTAAGAAAAACCTAAAATACTTGCTACCCCTAAAGTAATTAAAATATTTTCGTAACAAAAACAACACTAGACTAATTTAAACTATTGACGTACCTATAGGTAGGTACATAAAAATATGACATTAAATAAGTTTCGATAGTCAGTCCTTTAGATAAGTCTTACATTTTTATTATACCAAGAAGAAGTCTAGAAGACATAACACAATATTTTTTATAC